GCTACTTCAGCATTGCATCAGCAATGTTCTTCAGCTCTCAGCATTCACACGCATTTTCAGCAGAAAATGCATTTTCTAGTTATGTACCTGCAATGCAATAACATTGAAGGCATATATTATTATTATTATTATTATTATTAGAAAGTGCCGGTGGAGGAGAGGATCAGAGCATGAGAGAGGAGTCAGGGCGAGAGTACCAAGTCTTTAGGAGTGTATTAACAACTGTATTAAAGCCAACGTTTACATGATTTTAACATCAGTTTTTATTCCTCTTCCCAGATGTTCTGGAAAAGCCTAGAGTGAGTGGTTTTATAGCCCCCCCAAATGACATCTCAGAGTAGCTGGAAACTGAGACTGCTTACCTTCAATTCTTATGAATCTGACGTTCAGGAGGTTTTTAATGGCAGCTGAATTATCTGCAGTGATCTCCTCCTCTCCATAAAAAACAAAACGGGTTAATACTGCTAAACAAATAAAGCAGTTTCACTTTTAAAAAAGTGTTTTGGCGACACACTTTGGCAGAAAAGGAATAGCTAGAAACGGAGACTGCTTACCTTGATCTCTTTATTGTTCTCCATATTAGGATTTGCTGACATGCTTTGGCAGACACAGGACAGGAATTCTCCAGCAGCTGGGAGCTGAGCTGTCTAACATTTGCCTGGCTTTTTTCTCTGATGACTTAAGATCCTGACATCTTGTTAAAATATATAGTTGAAAACGCCCGAGGTGTAACAAGTTTACGTGGTTTAAAACTAGGGAAAGTCTTTAAAATAAGAACTATTTGGGTAGGATTAGGGAGCAACTGTGTTCATGGTTAAAAAAACAACAAAACAAGCTTTTACTAGGAAACTACAGTACTTCTGAACTTTGCTTTTGCTACTGTAAGAGTCATGATGCACAAAGTGACTAGAGGTCACTTGTCAGTCAACTTTAAAAACAGAACATAGAACATACCGGATACGGTGGTGACATCATTTTGAGCCAGAGTTTGCTCAGTAGGGATCATTCGGAGGAACTGTGCTATCCGCCCATATACCAATCAACAACTTTCAATCATGATGTCATACCCACTTTTTATAACATCAAATAACTCATTAAAAAGCTAACACTCAAACATCAGCATGATAAGAACTACCTAAAATGTTTGTCCATGTCCAGTCCGCTAACATGGAGGGGGCAGGGATTATGACCTACAATTCAGCCAGCCACCAGGGGGAAATCCAGATGTTTTGGCTTCACTTTTGTAGAGCTGTTATGCTGTCCATCTTTATATACAGTCATTGTTGGAGACTGAATCATCTCGACCACCACTGGATGCATTGTCATGAAACTTTTTACAGACTGTAATGTTCCGGAGCCATCACCAGGTTACGTTTATGACCATATGCCTGCAAAACTAATGACATCCCATCAGTGTGAGCTGTACTTTGTGTGAAGTGTTGTTTAGTGAAGGTAGGAAGCAGTAAAGAAGGATAGAATAACAAGAAAAACTCTGGATGTTACATGAACTTTTATGATTTTTTTAAATTAGTTCTGAAAACTGTTACAAAAACAAAAGCCAGGGACAAACAGAAAGACAAAAAATTGCTTCTCCCAAGATCCCCCTCCCAGTTTACATTTCATATGTGTGCCATCATAGTTGGAGGCTGCAAGTCTATGACCTTGATCTTTTCGTCCATCAGCAGTCTGTGTACAAGGCACCCTGACAGAATTCGGGCTCCTCTTGCTCTGTTTCGGCTCTCACTTCATGAGATGATAAAAAGTGTTCAGCTATAGAGAGATGAAAACAAGTGCTTGCAGTACATACAAACACAAACTTCGATGTGTTTCTATTTTTTTTCATACACAAACACAAACACACACACACACACACACACACACACACACACACACACACACACACACACACACACACACACACACACACACAGGCCAGCAGTCCTGTCCTGGTGATAGTAATATTCCAGTAGGGCCTGTGGATCTATACAGTGCACTAGGTCCCAAACTGATATAATGCCAATCCAGCCCCAGGTGCTCCATCCAGTTCTGATGGTACCCCAGGACCTGGTTTTGGTGGGATCCATTAAGAACGGTCTGATCTGGACTGAGATCATTCTGAATAGACTGAAATTAACGTCAATTCAGGTCAGACCAGCTGCTCTCTTCTTCATCCCCTTCCTCTGACTCTGCAGTTCATCTGACTCCTCAGTGTTCTGAAAACACAACAAGATTCATTTTGACTTGAGACTGAACAAAACTGTTTTTAAAGGCTTCTCTGCTCATTATGTTACTGGTGGTCATTCTCAATGTCTGCTATGGAGCTCCGGAAGGGCCATAAGACTTCAAATTGGATGAAACAAAAAAAGTGAGATCTCAAAAAAAAGTTTTTCATGATCTTACAAAATCTCAAAGACTGCAAGAATTGTAAATAAATAATAAAAAATGTTTTAAATACTTGTGGTTACTGTCCTGAAATTTAGTATTTGATCCTCATACATGAACTGAAAACACTAATTACTAAAATGTGTCTGAAAAATTTTTAGGGCAATAGTTGAACATTTTGGGAAACATGTATTTTCTTTCTTTGTGACAGTAAGCTGAAAAAATCAATACCACTCTCATGTCTGTGTGTTCAGTACAGAATTGAAGTCAGGATGTGGTTAGCCTAGCTTAGAATAAATCCTGGAAGCAGAGGGATAATTACCATTGTGTATCTATCTTGAATAGCAAAATTGCAAAATTCCAGGAATTTTCAAAGTTGGTAACTTTCCATGGGTATAAACAGGAATATATGGGAATAAACGAAAATATATTGGAATAAACAGGAAATTTACTAAACTGAATGTTGGCCCTTAACAGAAAACTTAAATATAGTTGGGGAAAATATATTGGAGCATAATCTTGGCTAAAACAACCAGATTTAATGCAAGTACACTTGAATATCTATGCTATTCCTCAATCACATGCACACAGCACACTGCTTACTGCTGGGCTATTGAGGCCACACCCCCTACATGCACTGTGCATTCCTCCATCACATGCACAGATGATTTCTAGAACCCTGGAGTATTGAAGCCACACATTTGAGCCCGTGGACTATATAAAGTCAAGTAAGTTTTGATAATATTATTGGGTAAATATATTTGATCTATGGTATCAATGTTTAACTTGCAAATATTTAATGAAAATGTATTCATACAGTAGCTAGCTAGCTGGTAAGTTAGGTGCTAAAAGTAAGTTAGGTAGCACGCATTCCATTGACCATTTAAGAGGCTAGCTTATCATGGTGCTAGCTACCTCAAATGTGATGCTGTTTCTTCTGCCTCCTTCAAGACGGTTTTCTGTAACCATACAAGAATTTATCAACATCAACTGTAAAATATTTTGAAGACCATTCCAGTCGTTAAGCTAATATATATATATAATATATATATATATAATTAATATATATATATATATATATATATATATTAGCTTAACGAAATCTGTTCATGCCATTGCATTAGTGTTTTTATAACTTTTGTTATCTTCACAGAAAAATGACACGTTAGCCATTCAATGTGCAGAGACATTTCACACAAGCTAATGTTGAAGGAAAGTTTTTGTATATGTGTAAATATTGTGGAAAGACATACGTGAAGAATGCCACAAAAATGCAGTGGCATATTGCAAAGTGCCAAAAATTTCCTCAAGGCTCAAAATATGCAGCAGACAAGAGTTCCACTCCAGGGGAAAATTAATCTGCGTCAGAGTCAGATACCCTCTGGTATCAGAGGATTCTTTGATTTGATGGACGAANACAGATGATTTCTAGAACCCTGGAGTATTGAAGCCACACATTTGAGCCCGTGGACTATATAAAGTCAAGTAAGTTTTGATAATATTATTGGGTAAATATATTTGATCTATGGTATCAATGTTTAACTTGCAAATATTTAATGAAAATGTATTCATACAGTAGCTAGCTAGCTGGTAAGTTAGGTGCTAAAAGTAAGTTAGGTAGCACCATTCCATTGACCATTTAAGAGGCTAGCTTATCATGGTGCTAGCTACCTCAAATGTGATGCTGTTTCTTCTGCCTCCTTCAAGACGGTTTTCTGTAACCATACAAGAATTTATCAACATCAACTGTAAAATAT